CTTTAGGGGCAATGAAAAAAAAAGTGAGTATTGAATTGCATACTATCATTATGTTCCCTTCCAAAAATTGCAAAATCGCCTTATAATTAATGATGGAAACTTTAAAACAAAGCTTATGCTTCCGCACTTGGAAAACACAACAATCTATATATCCCTCCCTTCTCTGCGAAAACTATATAAAAAAGCTAGCACCAAAAGATTACATTGACCCAACTGCAATCCAAAAACACTGTGAAAACTTTGACTGGGTATGCCAGCTTAACTATATCTATGAAAAAGCAAAGTATTACATACACGTCTGCTTCGATGGCTTTACACAGCTGGTGAGTAGCCAAAGATGTTTTCTTATGTGTTTTTCCTGGGGGCGGGGGGGATATGTTACAGGCAAGAATATTTTTGCCCCTTTTTCAAAACTGCAGTAAAGAACAGACTTCATATTAAATCCGGGGCCATTCATCTGAGCAATCTGCTAGGTGTTAGTAATTGCTATCTGGCTCCCGCCCCCAAATTCCCACTCCCCCAAATTCCCACTCCACAGTTGCTCAAATATATACTTAAAGGTATACAAAAGGCATCACTGTAAACACTCATCTCAAAACCTGCTGACTTAGAGCCAGGGTTATTGCTGAGAACACCCGCCATCAAGTGCCTCTCACTGTTGGAGGACCGACTTGGCAGGCCCTGGAGCAGCTGCTCCCCCTTCAAAATGAGACGGAATGCCACCATATATCAAAAATAAGCCTTTCCAGCATGGCTAAACTCTCTCAGCAAGACCAAAGCTTGGTCTACTGTGAGACAGAAAAGCTGACTGAGTCAAACGTTTCTAGTATTTAAAGCACTGCACTGCCATTAACAGGAGGCTGTTCTTATCTGGGTCTAATTTGTTTCTGCCAAGGTATGCATTTAATTACGGGAACACACAAGACAGGACCATCTTCTTTTTTCCATTCTAGGAAAAGGATGCATCTTTCAGTAGGACTAGCAAAGGAGCTTGAGAATCAGGAGGGAGGACACTGCAACCGCTGTAACCTTTCCATGCCAATACCCTAGGGCCGATATCAACCAATAAAGCTGTTATGGACACAAACAGTCCTTTGTCCAAACTTACATTCTAAGAATAAACTCCAAAACTGATTGAATGTCTTTATTTCTCAGAAAGAAAAGCCACAGTCTAGCAGTACTTCTTCTTTATTTCAGTCTTCCCTTGGGCTCCAGAAGTTCCTGTGACAGTATATGGGTGGGGCACGCTTGTGACCTAGATTTCCTCCACCCCAAACCTCTCCAAAATTTTTCCACTAGCAAAAATTAGCAAAACTTGTCTATTCTATTACCTCTGAACCTTAACAGAGGTACCCCCAGCCTCTTCTTTCTTCATTCTTTTTTATGTTTGGGGCAAACTAATTTTACTCTGGGATTTGAGAATGCACAATGTGGAAGCTGCCTCATCCTGGAAAAGGTTGGGCTGGATATCTCCCCATTCCTGTTTTCTTCACTGCTACCTTATTAAGGCAACCAATAATTTGATATGCAAAACAACAGGCTGTCATCATGATTAAAATCACAGAATTGTTCAGTAGCACACCCACTCCACAGTTATTGTGTATGATTTAGTCTATACACATTCCAAGAGCCATTCCATAAGAATTCCCCAAAGTAGGGATCTATTTTCTTTGCTGGCTTTAACCATGATTGAGGCCGCTCAATAACATTAGCTCTTGATAAGAATCTGAAATAGTAAATAGTATCCAACTTGAGGACTGAAGGCAATAAGGGTTATCCGCAAAAGCCCGAGATAACTCTAAGATTAGAAGTATGACATCCAAGCCATTCTGTGCAAACCAAAGGCCACATTACAATGAATTAGAAGGGTTGCCTTATTAAGCATTTGACTCCCCAGTTCCTCCAAAAAGTCACTTGGGAGATTAGGCAAGGAAAAGTAACCATCAAGCATAGAACATCTTTCAAAATTGCCCCACCACCTTTTTGTCTTATAGATTTTGTTCCCAGACAGATAGTTGATTAGACAACATTGGGCACGGCCATCACATAAAGCTCCAACTGCAGTTAAAAGCAGCCCTATGAATCGGCCATGAGAATATGTCAAGCCCGTTGACACTGCAGTAGAACCTGAGTTGCTCAAAGGACAGTTAGAAAATCAGCAGTGCTCCAAATCTCCTTGTTAAAACCCTTCGACAGGAAAGATCAATTCAGTTCACAGCAAAGGACTTTCACAGGGCCTGGACGCAAGGACACACACAAACCAATTTAAAAGGAAGCACCACCTCATGAGAGATTCGCCGTTGTTCAATGTAGGCCATGAATTGTGAGCTGAGGCTGTCTGACTGCCTGCATTTGCCTTGCCTCTCCTCTTCCTCCTCTTCTTCCGTGACACAGCTATCAATAAAGTCGATCTGATCCAGATCCTGCTCCACTGGACACGCAGAAGGGAAAGAGTTAGGAGATAAGACACAATCAGGACGACAGAGCCGAGAAGAATCATGCTGTAGACAAAGTCTCAAAAATGGTCATTTTCTCACACGAACCCCCAGGTTTTGATATGTATGCAAAATCAGATTAAGAAATCTTGCTGCAGACCAGCTTTTGTAAACACTGTGCAAAATCTTTATCTGGATCTCTATAAACAGCAGTGCTGCCAAAAGAGAAACTTTCAACTATTAAACTTTATTCAAAACCTACCAAGTTGGAGGGTTTAATGGGAATCAATGTAACCAAAAATTAGTGTTTTATAGTAGTTAACAAGCAGAGTCCAGGGGTGGG